CTTCATATACCTCGATCTGCAAGAATGCGTCGGAAAAATCCAGTTTGGTGAAACAGTTATCCCCATTCAGCTTTGCAAACAAATCATCCGGTGGAAGTAATAGGTATTGATGAGTGTTCAGCGCAGCATTCAGACCTGTTGATAAATCTGCGCATATTCGAATTTGACCGTTCGGATTTTTGACCACCACAATAGGTGCTGCCCAGGATGAGTAGTTCACCAGGTGGATAACTCCTGCTTTCTCTAAACGATCCAGCTCCTGGTCAACCATCGGTGTTGCCGCGTAAGGTATAGGGCGTCTCGTACGAAACACTGGAACAGCATCTGGCTTAAGGGACAGTGAAGCTTGTACGTTGGTGCACTTACCTAAGTCTTCCCGAAAGACTGCTGCATAATTCTCTTGCAGGCGCTCGCCGGCCATTGCTTTGGTGTCTTTTAAATTGGGTATCTGTACAGTTGCACAAATCTGGGTTATCGGAACATCAAGGAGATTGAAGCGCTCAATCCAATCTAGACCCAAGAGATTCAGATTCTGATGGCTCGTGACGAAAAGCGATCGCCATGCGGTAAAGTCGGCAAAGTAACACTCATTCAAATTGACCAAGCAATTTCAACTCCGTACCTGATGCAGTCTTCGCCTGCTGACTGGTAGGTTTGATATCGGGCGACCCGACAATCCTCCACAGCCTTTTTGATATGGCCGTGATGTCTGAGGCGGTGTCAATCTGCAAGCGCGCCTGTCTTCCATAGATGCTGATGGTGATGTACATTCTATGAACATAATCAGTAAAATTGGCGCTCACTCTCTTTGAAAAATGGCCGTAGATCTTCTTCCGATTATCTTGAACTGGCCGGAAAGGTGGTTTGGCTCTGCAATGGGTTTCTTTGTGCCCATGTCTGCGACATTTCTGGCAGGTATGCTTGTTGAATGGACGCCATGGAACAAAATGCCAGTCACCGCATCGCCAACAGGCTGATGGTGGCTAACCATGTGAGTGCTTCTTGTGATCAGTGGCTGGAAATCCGTTGGAATGCGGAATCATTGTAATGCGTCTTTGTGTTCTCGAGCACAGCTCTATCCTGTTTCACATTAATGATTCTCTGCTGACATCTGCAATGTGACCTCCGGGTCACATTCTAGAAGCGTCAAGATTCTGATGCGTGTCTCGGCATGCTTAGAAGATCGCAGGCGGCACACCAAAATCAAACACTCAAGTTGATCTTCAGTAAGTGATTTCAGCTTGAAGTTTTGAAACTGTCGGTGCACTGTTGCGGCATGGGCAATGACACTGTCACTGTCCCTTTTGCACAGCTTCAGACAATTGTACCGATTGTTGAAAAGCGATGCCTGGTCACCGGACATTTCTGCGAGTCAAGAAACTGTTTCCTCAAAACTGAACTCTTGAGCGGTCTTGTTCGAAACTTGTAATTGATGTATCTGTCGTGCTCCACATTCCCAAGTTTACGTAAGCATAGTCGCACTTTTGCTGCATCATCATTTGCCAGTTCCGTCCTGAAAATGTCTTCAAACATCTGAACTAAGCATCGAAAATCAATCCTGAATTGGGATCAAAAACGAACTCATTGAAAATGTTAACTATCGCATCGACTGAAGGCTTCTCAGCATTGTGGAGGGCTGTAGACTGGAGCGATAGTGTTCGAGTGAAACTCCCGATCATACACAGTTGTGTCGCCTCGAATTGTTGCTGCTGTTGAAGCAATAAAGCTTTCAAATCTACTGCTGTAATAGCCATTTGGAAACATTTTACCTCTCCTCGCAAGAAATATATGTTGTGGAGTCTGCTGAATTTACGGCTAACATGCCTGAGTCAGTTGTGCCGCCCCCAATCAGTTCAACTTGTAACGAAATGTGTGTGCCAAGACCAGCTGGACCGAGGACTTTCTATTATATGGTAGCATGGCGCAATAAATGGAATGTAGGCAACTAATAACAGCAATACTGGATATGCTAATTAATATTCATTAAAACAAATCAAACAGTAAAAGTTCATGATCCAACTTGCCGCTGATTCCACATATATTCGCATTTTTACCTGTACTCGAGTTCGCTCTCTGATTGTAGATCGATCCACTCTTACGCCACTGCTTTCCGCTTGAACGCTGGGTTTAAGTTATATCCCTGTTACAACCGCTTGTCATGGTTCCTGACACACATCAAAGATGGTTTGGTTTCTGCCGGTGTCAACAGTTATCAAGTTAATATTCACACGCACAATAGCTGAATTTTCGCTGTCTCCTTGATACTGATGTACAGACATGGCTCGGTCGCGGCCGACAGTAGTCTTGGTGAAGAACGCCGCTATTTGGATCGAGCATCGCGCAGGAGTTTACAAAAGGACCGTGAAGCCTGGTGATGTGAATGTGCTAGTAAGATGTTACTTACTAGTCTCTCTGGTAATATGAGAAAACTAGCGGGCTCATCCGAGTCACCGGTTTCCGATCTCGTCTAGGCGAAACAATCTGCGAAGAAAATGGCTCTCTCATCACTAATTTTCAACGGCAGTTGGAACGATGAGCTCGCAGGCCGGTCCTAGTGTGTGAATCAGAGAAGTGGCCAGTCCACGGCAAAAACATTAAACGCTTGTCCGAGTTTGACCACCAGTAATAGCGGGGTAATGCTCACGTCTGGTGGATACATCGGGTGAGAAATGTTGAGTTCCCCCAGTTGGTTTTTCGCAAAAGCATTCTAGTACACCATTCGAGTGTTTGCTAAATCTGAGTAGCTTGCGTTGGCTATGCCATTTTCTCCCTATGCCCGTTGATCAGCTTCCTCGGTGTGCATTATACACCTTGGCCGCACTATATGGGCGATACTGCGAGGTTGCCAGTGCATGACGTAGCATAAAGACATGAAGAAATTGACTGAGAGACTTGGTCAGGCGGGTGGATGGCGGCCTCGGGATGGTCCACACTAATGGTTGGAAACCGTGTCACACATAGCGCAGTCACGAAATCGGTGGTGTTCTTGCATTCCGTTTCTTGCATATGTTTTTTAGTTTTCCTGCCACTCTGATTAATTAAATGCACCTCCTTTTTGCATCCATTTTTTTACATTCTGTTTGCATTTGACCCCAATATCTTGACTTTGTTAGGTATTGTTATGCTTGCGATATGCATCGAGGTAACTGGATCCACCACAGTTAGATGCTTAGATCATAGTTGATCAACTGAACTGAACTGTTGAGGAATGGCGTCCCGGGAACGTTCTTTTCCTCAATGCGTGCTACTGATAGTCTGATCTCATGCTTGTCGCAAACATTCGCTTTCCTTTGTTGCCAACATTGGGGCTAGACGAGGATGACCTATCTTCCCACCTATGCAACTTTGCCACTGGAGGAATCGTTAAACACTGGCGTTGAGCTCCTCCCAGGTAATGGAGTTGTTGATTTGGACTATGCTGATGATATCATCTTGCTCAGTGTCAAATATGGCATGCATTTTCACCAACTAAGTGCAAAGCTCTTTCTCAAGCCTGACAGACGCCTGCATCTGCAGTCCCTTTTTGTGGGGACATTGGCGGGTGTGGATAGGTTTGTCTACGTGGGAAGATGGGGTTGCTGAAGACGAGATTTTGTTGTGTACTTGAAGAGTTCCTCTCGCTTTCTCCAGCCTGAGGCGTTTGTGGTGTCGCCATGACATCCGTCTCTTCATCAAAGGGTGGGTCTACTGCGCGCTTGTCCACGCTGTACTGTTGTACAGTTGCGAGATCTGGACAACTGTCTGTCTTTGAGCACAGCTGCTTGCGGTACATCGTCCGTATTTGGTCGCTGTACCACGTAAGCAATGTGGACGTTGGACCGTGTGTCTTGGATGAAGGTAGTCACTCGCTCGAGTATTTCGTCTCGCTGCCTAAGCTGAGACGGCTTGGACACGTATTGCACATGCCCACTCAGTGTCTTTCGTGTAACGCGTTGTTTGCGGATGCTGGACAGGGCTGGAGGAGACGACGCGGTGGACAGCCTACTACGTGTAGAACTGGTATGAAGAAGCTAACGAGACAGTTAGCCTCGGTTGCTGGTTTTCGACTTCCTGGTTTGGATCCCAGAGATGCAGTGTCACCGGTTGGAGACGCAGGGAATCATAGCCCAGGACCGATGTCACTGGTGGACTTGCATCCCTGCGTGTTGCGATGATTCTCCTCTCCTAATAAAACAAACTGACAGACGAAACGGTCAGTGGGAAAATGGACAAAAGTTGTCTGTTTTTCTTCATAATCCTATCCTGTTTTCCTATTCCACCATGATTTCCATGGCGCAATATCTGTAGCACAGATTGTGTTCTATATGAACAAATAAACGGATAAATATCCTTACGCATATACAGTCCGTTGAGCGGCAAATTCGAAAGCGGCCAGTAGTGTCTCAGACGGGTACACTGAGTGGGATGCTATGGGATTGGTCATTCCACGTGCAGTGCACACTAGGGGTATTCGCGGCCACTGAATACAATTCCATAGCAGTAATGACCATCTTGAGAGGGCTAGGAGAAACATGATTTCAACAAACGATGCTCGCTCCACCTGGCACCCCTTTTGACTAATATTTCTTGTAATTCTGAAGCACGCATGCATGATGGAATAATGACCAAAGCTGCTAACCGACTGCTCAACTCTCCAGCACATCCTCTTGTCACACGTTTCCCTGAACTGTAGCAAGGACACATTCTATCGGCGGCTTGTTCTTTACTCGACTTACCACAGAGTTGTATGTCGTAGTTTTCGTTGCCACTGTCTCTTAAACGGGTTGTTTTCACTGCGTAGAAAATTGTCCCCTTTAACTTCATGCATTACTGTCTTGCTTTCTTGCAAACGTATCAACACAACGTATTGCTTGCATTTCCGATGCCATTGCGTTTTAGTTTCACATGTAGTTGCACCTCACATTGTTTGGTTTCTTCACTTCGTGTGTGTTATCACCTTTCATCTCAATATTCTCAGCTCCTCTTACTCACCTCTCCTTTCTGCTGTCCACTTTGCTCAGGTGTTACCTCTGTGCACGTCGCTTCGTCACTCGTTTCGGTTGTCAACGCCATCTGACTGGCTTACACAAGTTGGCCAAATCGCGCATCAACTGGGATTCTCTAATTGACACAGGTGAGCATGTTGTGTGCTATGGTGTCTTTTTCCACCCGTTTGGTAGCGCGGAATCAGGTCGGTTTTTTGGCGCTGTGATCTTGTCCAAATCCTGTCGCCCGTGCTTCATTACTGCCTTCCACTTTATTGCTCCTTCTGTGTGCTGAACTTGTCAAATATGTAGACATTTTGTTTGCCCGATTGTTTATCACCGGCTGCGTCAACGTTTAAACTTAGTTGTGCGTATTCACAACCATATGTGATTTATCTCGGAGTTGTTCCTGTTGAGGATGCTGATCATTTGTTTTCGTTTTCATGAGACACGCCACTTATGGTATGATGAAGTTTTAACAGTTGTGTTGGGACACCTACAGGGTAGTCTGAATTCCGAGTAAAAAGAGACGTCTTCAGGGGTTATTCTTTGGTTCACCCTCCTAAAGTCTTCTCTCTATTCTTGTCACCATGTTGTAGATTAGTGATATTGGTTACGGACTCAAGACATCTTCCATAGTTCTTCCGTTATTCATGAGGTGCGCTCAAGTTTCCATCCGCGAAGGATATGGTATGCATCATGCGATTCTGACAGAGTTTTGTATACAAACCGAACGTGGTTTTATTCTTCGACTAAGGGATGAGAAGAAACTGCGGCAATACTAGGAACAATGGAACACAAGTTCCTAGGAATCGGGATAGTGAAAGACGAGGGTATGGACTTAACTGGTGCGCACGACGTTCGAGTACAATGAGAAGGAAAATGTTGGTGGAGATGGTTTGGCTTGTATCTTCTATTCAGCTCAGGCACATTTGTAGCCGAGTGAAAAGTTGAAAAAATATCAATAAAACTGTACATGAAATTGAATCGGTTGGCTTCATTCTGCCAATCGACATGTTAGTATGAGGGCCACAAGAGAAGCGTGGTCGAGTAGAATAGAAGCAATGAAGAACGCGATCGAAGACGGATAAAGGCAGATGCAGTCAGTGTTGCTTATCCAACTCACATTTTTCGGCATGGCTATAAAGTGGCCACGACGAATGAAAATAAACTCGTCCTCGAATTGCAACTCCTTCAGTTTGCACTCTGAGTATAGTTGTAAGGTATGCTCTTCCTTATTAACTAATACGAGCCGTCTCTGCATTCGATCGGGGATCAGTATTTGCTAACAGACTATTTTCCAGGACACAATACATACACAATCTCGATCGGTGGGGAAACGTCTGTAGGGAAATTACCCGGATTGGAGAACCAAGCAGCACTCCAAAGGTGATAGGGTTGTGCCAATTCTTCACCTCGTGTTTGTACACGCATCGCTTCAAGATTGCTTGTCTTACCAAGTGAAGGCACTGTGTGCAGTACATTTTGTGCTCGCTTGTAATCGATACAACAGTATCCCAGTCCCATTCCCGGGTGGTTGATTTCAACATCGTTCTTACTTAGGAGCTGCCTCTTTGAATGCAGGTTGCAATCCACAGGTTCTTGTTTCGACAGGAAGGCGGTTCCATATTTGAGTGTAATAGTTTACTTTAAATTGTTTGATTATCAGTCTTCCTCTTGAGCACTTGAAATGACTACTCGGTATTCCTAGTTGCTAATCTACCCTCCTGTCTGAAACGATTAGTGTCATTTGGTGCAAACCTACTTGGACCAACTGAAGCATGCGCCCCATGTACCTCAGCGTCTTGCAACGCTAGAAGTTGTTTAGCCTGGTTGAAATGAGCCTTAATGATTGGACCTTATATACTGAGACTGTATATAAGAGCAAGTAGAAAAGTTTCTGTACAACTCTATCGAGTTATGAATAATCAAAAACATTTAATTACGAATCGTCAGCGATAGTGTTTAGTCGGGTAATAGTTTCTCCTCGTTCGGTTAGAAATGCGTATTGGTGTCATTAATTCCGGGTATATGATGTATTTGTTTTCATTGTATGTGCACGGTTTCACAAAAGCACAGGTTTCCGAACTAATCGTCGATACGTGTTTTGAAACACTTCTCAGTATCGGCCTCTATTAGTCCTTCTGATAGTGTATTCCATAAGTTTACGATTCTTCCTTCAATACAAAGCCGATGTGATACCCTGTTCATGCAGGGGACCCTGAGTTTGTAACGGTGTCATCGGGCGTTACAGGGTTCTCGCAGGTGAAATATTGGCTCCAGTATGGGGAAGTGATTCAAGTGTAGTATCCAATGGGTCATATAAAGTCAATTCGTACTCAGCGATAGGATAGTGTGTAGGATCCGAGGCTTTTACAACGTTTTTCATACAGAAGCTTCCGTAAACTGGGTATCATTCTGGATTTGCTCCAGCTTTTCCGTTTCCGACTGCGTTTTCGGATGGTAAGCTGGGGCGCCGTATTCAAGGATTGGTCTGATGATGTGCGACTTGAATAATCTAAGGACGGTTTCTTCGGACCATGTGGAGAAACTGTGTCCTTATGCTCAGAGCATACGAAGTCCCGCACGATGCAATTTCTCAATATTTTCTAGTGATCTCATATCATGTCGTGAGAGAACTCCTAAGTCTCGTACAGATGTGTTAGGGTGGAGCAACTGGCACTCCAAGGTGTATGCTCAATTGGCTGTACGTCTGATGATACTCATGAACTCCGACTTGCTTGCATTAAGAGTGAGTTGCATTTCAGTGGACCACGTTGACAGTCGCTCTAAGTCATGCTGGAGGCGAGCGCAGTCGTCCTGGTTCTCAGTGATCCTCCAGATTTTCAAATCATCTGCAAACAGGGCACATGGTGACTGGAGCTGCTGCGGAAGATCGTTGATATGAATACTAAATAATACTGGCCCAAGTACAGTTCCTTGAGACACGCCACTGGTCGATGTGAACCAGTCTCCTGTATGCTTGCGTAGTGACTTATCCTGTCATGTGTGAATACAACCGTGCGATATTCTGTGGCACGAAACTGCTTGTGGTGTGCCCGCAACCCAGTGTGCACTTGTCGCAGGTCACGTGATTTACAGAACTACAACTGACTCAGCGTGCACTGTTTGTTGCCAATGTGCAAATTTCGTTCCTGCTCAGTTTTGCCTGATATGCTATCTCACACCCGGAGCACGCAGTTACGTAACCAATCACATGTCCGCATTGGTACTCAGTTTTGTCTATGACTCACCTGGTGAAGGTCATCGCAGCATGACTGGCCTTTAATGTGGTGCTTTGGTTTACGAACCTTGCCGTTGCTATTCCGTTTTGTCGGAGTCTATCAATTCGGATACGGTCCTTGTGATCGGAATAACGGAGGTCTACTTAAAAGTGAACTGAGGTCAAAATAGATTGCGTGTCGCAAACCAACCAAACGATGCGTGCTCCAAATCCAGCTTCCAACGTGTACTTTGCTGGAATGGGTTATCACGATGAAGCTATTTAGGCCTCTCAGTGGCAGTGGCGGCTTCAGTCGCGGGTGAACATGCAATGCTGGAATGGATGTCACTTTCAAAAGCCACTGGTCCGCCGATCACGGTTGGAAGACCCAATCAGCAAGATTGCCCACTGCACATCACCTCACTAACCATGCCGCCTCGCATGGTAGCGAAACGTATGCAACCACTTAATCAAGCTCGGTGTGCCAATCAGCAGCTAAACTCGAGTTGGAGTTTGCTGGAGACCTCCACCATGTTTTTCGGCAAAGGCGGTATTTCGCAATGATGGCCACGTACTGAAATGCTTCTACTTTCGTCAAGTGGTTCGCACCTTCATGGCACAACTTGCCTACTGATGAACTGACAAATCCTCGGGAAGTCAAAGAACCGGTTATGTTTCATGATGTTACCCACCTTAGCAGCTGTATTGGCTGTGAACATGCAGGAGCGTGCACATCAATATTTGTTCACTTGATCCCGAAGCTAGAAGTCTCTTGATCCATTTGACTGAGGGGTTTTCTTTGAGCTTACAAGTCTTGTCCGCAAGACAACGGTTAGAGATCTCTTCTTAAACGATGTAGGTTATCATTAGAGGAACTCAAGCGCCTTATGGAGCAGGGTTCTTCGGGAGCGGGATCAGCGTATCCGCTAAGATGCGCAAGTGATTAGTAAGGCGTGATGTTCGGGTTCGCGGACTAACGCGTTAGCTTGCTCGCGTGCTACGCATGTTTTCTCATCGCTTACCTGGACAACATATAACTCGAAGGGAACAGGCATTGATACTGCGGACGGAAGTGAAGTCTCTGATTCCCTGGCTGAGTACCATCGACCCCTCTCACCTTCCGGGCTAGGGCGCATGCAGCGCACCTAGCGCTTGTGTTGAAACAATGCGGGACGGGGTACACAATAGACATGTTCGTTGTCTTCTCCCAATCTTGCTGTCTTTGATTTCTGTCGGTGATGAAGACGATGATAGCCGCTTAGTGAATGGAATACGGAGTTCCCGCTGCGTTGACTGTATTCTCAGCACTATTTATCTTCTACGCAGCTGTCGATATCGTCTAGTCTACAGATGGCTTATTCAATGCTGTAGAGACACCTGCGCCATCCTGATGTCACGCTAAAGCTTGTCACAACGTCCAGTTTGGTCCCCTTTCTTTCAGTCAGTATTCGAACACATAGCTAAGCCCTGTTGGGGTTTTATATACATTTTTGTGCTCACTAGCCTCATCTCAGTCCTCTCCTATCGTTTGGCCTCCTTTAGTATCCGCAGTTTGGATGATATTCGTACTAGTAGCTTCGTGGTCCACCAGCGGAATACCTCGTGACTGCTTGAGCGAATTGTTTTTTAATTCATCGCTTGGTGCATGCATCATGTAATCATTACTGCGTGTCGCTACTTAGCCTGAGTAAGCATAGTGTGGTGGTTGCCCTGCGGCACGCATTCTCCATGGTTGCCACGGTTGAATGAAATGCAATGCCGTCATCTCAGTCACGTGAACCTAGTTACTTCATGCTTTGGGCATAACAGGTGTTCCACCCTAGTTAATTTTTCTTGCTTCTAGTGCACCTGTAACCCGACTCCTCCTTGCGCCCCCATTTACTGTGCTGTCTTAGTGCTCTCTCTTGTAACGGAGCAGCAGCGCTGGTCGGATTTATGCCCGTTTTGCTAATCACTCACTATTTCGTCTTTGTGTTCATATCATTGTCTACTTTGTATCTCCATTGACCGGTTCACTCAACTCAGCTTGGTAACCTGTTCTGATCATGACCCAGTCCAATTCTGTGCACAGTTATGTGATATTTAAATGGAGCACGTACCGTAAGTTGAAGCGTCCTTGATAACTGTACCGTTGCTGTAACATTGGTTACTCGTTTTTGTATGTGTAAAAGCTGTATGTTCATTTCTCAAACGGAGGGAGCCGCGTTTCGAGAGCGTTATTGAAAATATTAACGCTCACTTGTTGCGCAGACATTCAATGCCCGCTGACGTCTCCTTACTGGATCACCCGTTCATTGTGGGCGTAGCGCTTGGCTGTCTGAGGGCTAAGTTTGATTGTGGCATGGGCACAAAAAGCTGCAGGAGTATCTTATTCTTGCTGTCACCTTACTCTCACACGATGATCAGCTGTTCGCGACCATATGGTGCTAACACGATGCAGGCGTTTTGACTCCGAATGTATGCCTATTACATCTAAGTTTTGTATTAGGTCGGCAGTTCTTACTTCGCTCTTGCTGTGAATGATGCTGACGAGGTTAAGAGTTTTCGGAGCGGTCGCTCAGAGCGAATAGCACTGAACCGATCCCAACCAGTGTCCATGGATCATGTTCAGTGCACTGCATTGTACGATTTCCCTGATCAGCCTCCTATCGAATTTCTGTTTCTTGGCCAAACAACAGCACCACACCCATACAGAGCAATGTGAACTAACCTTGTAATCAGAAAGTGCGTAAATAATTGTTTCTGTATCTTATTATTCTATCACTTCGGCAAATACGACGGTAGTCGGCTGTGCCATGAGATGTTCTGGAGATCCACCCACTGCAATATTGTATGCCGAATGGGCAATCCCGATTCCTTCACCGTTTTATCAGCTTTTTGGCTCTCTTTACAAAACGTTTCATCCTCGCACATTGGTGATCATCCTGGACGTGCCTCTATTCATCCCTTTCATACAATGCCAATTTCTATTCCTCTGACTGCAGATTGCACACGAGGTGCGAGACATTCCACATTGGAAGCGTCAGAAGGCTCGGATTCACAATTTACATCTTTCAGCCAAACAACTCAGTCGCATCCCAGTGCACCGATTCTCAGCTGGTCTTCCGGTGACCAACCCAGATCTCAGCAGTCTCTCTCGTATACCATGGGGAATCAACAGGTATCACCTCCCCGTGCATCATCGGACACCGTGTGGCTTCGTCCCAATACAGACACGCATACGGATCATCAACAAAGCGAGTGTGGCGGTTCCGACATTCACTGTTGCACGATATGCCAAATCCCATTTCTCTCTCACCGAAGTCTCTCCATTCACCAGGCCGCTGCCCACGTATCCACTGTTTGAAGTTGACACGTTTTGACTGCTTGTTCTCTTCTGTTCCTCCTCTGCTCGCTTTGCACCTCAACTCCGGTTTCAGTTGTACAGTTGCCGTTTTAATACGGACCAGTTTTACCACTTGCCATGCCCCGTTCGTTTGCTTTTGTACAGTTTATCTTCTTCCAAAGCCGGTTCTCTTTGCTTGTGCGTTTGTTCGCAGTGAATTCTGGATAATCTTTTTTTACTACTACACTTCATTGCTTTGCATTTTTTATGGTCCAGCGTATTCTTCTTCTTCCTGGGGTACCACAAATTGGTTCCTTCAGGCTTGTGTTCGTTTTTGCGGGACACCTCACTAACCGATCGAATGTAGTCGGCATGCGTTAGTCGCAATGAACTTGTTGTTAGCGCTATGCGCTGAAACAATTCGTGGTTTTTATGACCACCTCGCACTTTGTTCATCCATAGATCGTACCCGTGTGTAGAATACTAGGCTACCGAGGTTTGCGTAGGTGCCGTTCTCATCCAACTAACATTGTGAGACCACATCCTCGAGGCTGCTCACTATGACTGGCCTTTTATATCTTGGTCGTCCCTCTGTGATTATCTGTTTCTCGTGTACCCATTGCAGTTCTCAAGTATGACATCATACAGTTGTACCTTCACGTTCTTGTGTGCTTACGCTCTCATAATCTTCAAGTGGTCTTCGACCTTTCACCTTTATTTCTGCGATAACCTGATGCAAGTGTCTTCAAACCTTCACAGCGGGCCGGATAATCGACAATATGATTAGCGTGGGTCTCAAATACGAAAAACTAAACTAAGCGTCCCATGTTAAACATGGGTGTGTTAGAGTCAAGTAGTCTTGTGCACAAATCAAATGCAATTGACATATTTACTAACTAAAATATACCGATGGAAGCGACGTTAGCAAAAAGCTACGTTATGTGTGCATATCCGAGTGCACAAGCTTAACAGCAGAAAAGATTTATGAGATTTATGAAATTAAAGTTTGCTTTTCCAAATATCGTCAATGTTTGGTTTGGAATGTATTACAAACCTCCTGGTTGGATTTCGACTTTCCTAATCGGACGAACTCTTTCACTCGTTGTTTCCCACGCGCAGAGTAGCTTAGACGATTCGTATTGGAACGTTTAGTGGACTTAGCCGGTAGACATGAACTCGTAACTGCGAAGTCAGACGAACGCGTGAACATCGCGCAACTATACCGAGATCCCGCAGAAAGAAGACTGCTCAGTAGTAAGAGTGCTTTTACTGACTCAATCACAGTTGCTGGGTGGCTAAGACATTGACATGGACACAGCTCATGAGATAGACTGTTGACTTGAGGAGAGTCCAGTAGGTACGATAGGGGGACTGGGGCGAGTTCAGTGGCAACTGGTCGGACTACCTTGGCCTTGTTCTCACTGAAGGCATCTCCGGGGTGATCTGTGCAAATGGGTGGACCCTTGGTGGCAGGTTTCGTAAGGAGAGCTCTGCTCTGAACTTAGTAGTTTGGGTCTCAGCATAGCGACCGTGTTGTTCGGGTCCGATAAGGCACTGGCGCCGGTGAACCCCATTGAGTTTGCCAGGGCTCTGCGAGCCCTGTAGCAGGATGGTTGCATCCAATCAAGTGTATTGTTTTCAAATGTCCATCAGTTGGTATCGTTCGATGAGTTGACTACACATACTTCATTTTTGAAAATGTTTGCTCACATATATAAGTTGTTCCAAACACTGATGCCGTGCCAACGGCAACTCTCTTCAGTTCGGAAATTCAACTTCAGAAAAGCAATGGTAAAATCGAGCAAGTTTTCCTTCCCTGTACCTCTGTTTCAATAGGTCATTTGCCCGTAAATCAATTAGATCCAACTGCAGTTCAATGTTACTATCAATCGGATTCTGGAACCGAGACGTTTCACTCTTAATTCTGTCAAGACCAGAAAATGTCTCTAAAACATACCCCTCCAACTCACGAATAGTTGCTTCTGGATGATCGTGATTGACATCTTCGGCGATCGTAACGCAAAACTCGTTGAAACGGTGCAAAGTATTCTCCTTCCAGTTGTCCTTCGAACAGTGACAACTTTCTCCCAAATTCCTTGATGATTCTGTAAACATCACAAACGGAACTCCTTTCACTGCAGTTTCAAGTTCATTCGTGTAGGATGTGACATCGAACATAAAAGACAACTGACAGCCAGGTAGGAGCTGACAGCTGTGTCAGCTCTTTTTTACTTAGGAAACCAGTTGTTTTCTTTCGGAGCTTGTACAATGGAGAAAGAACTTTGCTGCAATTGAGACACCTCACTGATGTGTGGTAAGGTTGGTCACATAATTCGGAATCATTCCATTCCAAAAAAGCCTGGAATTGACTGTGAGAGTGAGCATGTCCCCGAATAAAGTTAACATTAGCAACAAGCGGTTTCGGTACATAAAAGATATCTGCGTCTTTCCCACTGAGTGTGCGTTGACGCAGGATACAGTGTGTATGAACAGAGCTGCTGGATATGTCCTACCAGATCCTCACTCCAGCCATGTTTTCCCTCCATCAAGTGTAGCTTCTCGAAGTCGCTTCCACGATCTTAAAAAATTTTGTGCATTTCCACAAAAATGTCCTTTCTAGTTGCCGGTGCCAATTCTTCGGTTATCTGAAAGTCCAAGTAAACGACACGAGTGATCATGCTAAGTTGTGAAGTTCTCGAGAGATCAGCAGACTCATCCAGCGTCGGAAAACACCACAAAATGTCCTTAGCTTTCTCGCTTATCTTCAGCACTGTGTTCTCTCCAGATTCTTCTGTTCTCTATACAACTGGACTTGCCGAGAAACTGCTTCCATTCAATTTAGTTACCATCAGTATAAGGTCTTTCTCTTACCATCTTTTGCACTACTTGTACGAGTAACTACTTCGTTTTCAGTGAACTTCTCTTGTAAAGAATTCTTTGTGCTTCTTAGTCACATTTCATGGACTCATATTTCTCCAGCGATGCTTCCATGAAGACTTTATGTATGCTGAGAGGTGTTTTATTTTATACTTACGCCGACGATCGTACACCTTGACTGCATGGTACGCAACTGTTTTTCCGATTCTTCGTTTCCACGAAAAGGTACTGTACTCTCCGTTCTTCGTTAAAAACGCAACGCGACGTCCATTTTCTTCTTAGTACCCACAGAGCTGTGCTGTAAAGGGAAGTTGCAAATGAAGAGGACATTAGATTCAACACATAACACCCTACTGGAACAAGCAAAGCATAGAGCTTGGGGCATCTGCTGAAGCTACGGCGTACCAACTATGCATGCAAACTTTATATCATACAGTTTCTAGGTAACTGTAGGTATTAGTATATATCACATAAGGAGTCTTGCGAAGCATATGCATAGGGCCCGTTGTCTTGAGGACCACAGGCCTGCGTTGTAATCCGAGGGCGCAGGTTCGAGTGTTCGTAGGGACCGGGGGACCCTCACAGTATCTTTAGCCGACGTGCGACTTGTGGTGGTTGCACGGCAGCGATGCGCCCGTATGACGTATCGGCGTACTGCTGATGTCTGTCTATGCATATGGCCGGCCTAACTAAACAGCTTGAAGTGTTATTCAGCTGCGGTTCCGTGACTTGCAACTGGACATTCCGCTGATAATAAATCGTTTAACTACAACTTTTATGCCCATCACTTGCACTCTGCATCCTTTGCCGTCTCGACATTTAGCAGATGTGTGATCTATCTTGAAGCGCATGCAGCATCTTCCACTTGTCTTTACGAAGTTAAACTACTCGTGGACACTATGGGATCGGAAACTGGTATGAGACCGTGACTTGCTCACCACCGCACATGACGTTCGTACAGGTTACAATGCCACAACGCGGCTTGCTTAAATGTCGCTTGAGTCAATGGCGAGATCAGCTGCACAAAAAGCCACGGCGCACCGCTTTGTCGCATGCAGACTAACATGCAAGCAGTTGTATGGGTCCAACTGGCGTTCGGGATAAGCGAGTGCCAAACGCCGCCGAATTTACCCTGTGAAGTGCACTAAAGCGGCGTGCACGGTCACAGTGAACGCGTTACACTCTGAGCATCGCTCAAGGTGTTGAAACTGCTAAGCGACGTGTAGGGGCCAAACAAATCTGGGGTGCTGTTATGGAGCTGGTTCTGTCAAACTCGCGCAGATTTCGCACGTACAATCACCATATGGCGGTAGATTGCTCTAGAAAACAAACGGATCATCCCCAGGACAGGCCAAGCGACAAGGAGCCGACTGAGCTCTACTCAGGACCTGCATCTTTTGTCTACACTGCAGCGAACTCTCCTCATGAAAATACTGTCTCTATCCTATCATGCCGCAGTGAACCACCTATCTCCGCAGTAGCTGCGGTAGTTACCGCACTAACTCATACTGACACTAAGTGAGATTCCCTCGGGACACCATCGCTGGGCGACAACCCATGTGCCTTGGGAACATCCACCTTTCTAGACAGTTTCTGCATTACGCTGCTATTCTATTGAGCTATAACTATGAAGGTGTAGAAGTCATGCTACGCCTTAGCTGAATCAGTAAAAAAAACTTGCTAACGGCTAGTCTTTGTTATAGAGCAGGTAAGAACACTTAACCACTCCCCGTGGTTTTGTGAGTCTGCCTCACACTCCTATTCATCCCCACTCTGTTATAGTTTCTTGCATACATGTTTCAGTTTGCCTCTCATTTGTGTTTACCTTGTATTTACACTGAATGTTATGCTTATTGGTCTTTCTCTTACTCTGTGTTTCGCTCGTTCCTGAGGCACTTTGTCGATCCTCCGCCCCTGAACTGACCAGCCTTGATTGACCGAATGTCCACCTTTCTGCATAGCCTGTGTATATGCCCTGATTTAAATTATTCGGTTGCTTCGTACTCACGGACGCTTGGCGGCCGCTTTGGCTCGCAGCAAGAGACGTTGTATTGTACACGAATTGCTGTTGATGTTCTCACTACCGTTAATGGGCGGAGTCATTCGTGGGATCGACACAAAAGTCTACTTTCTCTTTCGGATCACAGTGCAGTCGGTGCTTGGTTGCGCGTACTCCTCTCCAGTCTTAGCTCGCGTGTACGTCTGGCGGCTAGGTCTCGTTAGCCCGCAACGTTCCGAATTCGATTGACTATTCTTTACGCGTGGGGTATTATCTGTGAAGAACGTTCATTCGTTCCGACTAAGAGTCGAAACAACTATGACGCGTTATAACAGGTGCGACAGTGATATTGCATGGCAGTGTTTAGCGTTGGGTCATGCAATGACGTGATCGAAAGTGCCTTCGTGCGAAGGCCGTAAACATAGAAGTAGAATGGGCGTGTGAATCATTTGGGTGCTCACATTCGATTGCCATTGGCGCGCCGAATGATTTAACGTCGCAGGCCTTTG